TACACCCCAAACAAGGCACTTTACGCAGGTAAACTCCTTAGCTTACCTGTAGATATCATTGTGTTTATTTGTTTTACGTAGTCCTTCCGTAATGGAATGAAATCATTTTTCTCGACGAACGAAGGGCAATCAGTTCTAAATGGTAGAATAAGATATCTCATGAAAAGTTTGTCTACACAACTATTACTCTGAAATAGTTGAGGGTTTAGCAGATCCTACAGAACAATCGTCCTTGTTAATAAGACAAGGACCAGTGTCCAAATCTAAGAAACGAAAGAAAAAGGTAAAGGAATTAAGATCTATTTAGTGATAACGGTTAAAAGGCTAGGCTAATTTACTTGTATCTGATTGTGACTACAGCAGTAGACGAAAGAACTCATTCAATCTTATAACAGCATTCAAACATTAACATTGCACACTCAATAAGGTCGTCAAAGTTTCACACCCTCCACTTTGACGTACGCACCAAACCTTCAGGGTAAACTGAGCCTATAGTCTTTCGAAGGAGAGAAACACAAGCAAAAAATGAGGGGTTTCGTATGAGGCTGGAAAGATTTTCCTGCAAAACTAATTTTATAAAGCTTGAAATTAAAGGGGACGAGACACCCTTACATGCATCCTCTGACAAGCATAAAACAGTTTCCACCCTAATTGAGACAGGGGGGCTGGAACCGAGATGTGCAAACCGACGACCCTCCTCTTTCTTGTCTTGATAAAATAAATACTAACGTACCGACCTAGCCCAATCGACAACGATTCGACATTCAAACCAACCAGAATCCTGTATCTGAGCTAAACATTTTTTATCCAGTTTGTGGATCACAATACCACTCCAATAAGTTATTTCTCTTAAATCTTTCCATACGTACTCAATTCGCGAGGTATTTCAGCCCAAATCCGCGGGATGTATACCTACTCAGTTTTTCCTAGATAAACTTAAACTCCGTGTTAAAATGGCACGTATCTGCCATCCTCAGGTCGTGTGGAAAGCAACTACATCCGTTGGAGTGGCTCAAACTTCAACCGGGTCGGGACAGTCAAAAAAAATATACATTGTGGCTCGCTATTATCCGGCAGGAAACGTCAAAGGTTTCTTCAGTGAAAATGTGGGGAATAAGCTATCCCCCTGAAGGTAATCGCTCGATAAATCGACCCACCCTAGTTTAGAGAATAGGGCAGCAGCTTAATGGACGGAGAAATGGACAACCTGATGGATTAAGGAAGGAATGGGAAGATGTACGGCTGATGAAGGAAATACAACAAAAAGTTGAGGATCGATTGAATGATAATGCCATTGATATAATGACGATTATTGGTAATTTAACTGACTGACTCACTGATTGATTGGCAGTCCTACTGACCGACTGACAGACTGACAGATTGACTGAGAGACTGAGTGACTGAGTGACTGAGTGACTGAGTGACTGACAGACTGACAGTCTGACAGACGGACAAACTGACAAACTGACAGACTGACAGACTAAATGACTGACTAATTGAATGACTCACAGACTGACTGACAGACTCAATGACTGACTAACTGACTCAATGACAGACCGACAGATTGACAGATTTATTGACTAATTCATTTATAGATAAATTTTAAATTGTTTTTTTCAGGGCCTCAAAGAGTCATCAGCTCAGTGCAATCAATGGGATGAAATTCAATGGAAAGAAAAATGAGAGTAGCTAAGTGAGGGGGAAGAACTTAGAATTTGGACATCTCATTCTCATGGAATTTGTATTATTAAGCGATAGATAAGGGATAAAGAAATAAAGACAGCATTTAGATCACATTCTTTGTACACTTTCAGAACTCAATTACTTAACTCCTTTTAAGGGAGTTTGGATTCGATGGAGATATATATTTTGCTGTTGTTTCGACCAAATTTCAGCTCGATTTAGCAGATTATACTCCACAATTCGAAAAGTTGGTAACTGAGTAAATTTCTTTGGTCCTTTTTTTTAGTCACTTCTACTTTCTGTATCGGCTTTTAGAAGACGAAAACTGGCATAAAACAGCCGGGTTGCACACATGCAATAATCAAGTGCAAATGGGTAGTCACTAGGACGACCGGACAGGTGTAGGTGATCTTAAACCTTCACACCTTAAACTTACCTTGCAGTAGTTTAAATTGTACATAGTAAAGGAAAAATTCCTTCTAACACGCTTGTTTCGATTCGCAAGTTAATCACTAAGTGACCTTAAAGAAGAAATTCGTCCTTTTATGACTTATTGATCATAGGAAATATTCAAATGGATGCAGCCTCGAGTCGAGTGACCTTCCAAGGAGAAAATCACAGCTTCCCTTGAACCAAAGCAAATTAATTACTTATCAGAATTTTTTTTTAATGGGGCCTCCAAAGGAACGCAGATTGCATGGCCATGTTGTGTTATGACTTGTTTATTACGTTCTTTCTCATTGTTGCATTTCCCACCACAGATTTTTTAATGGAATCAAAGTTTTCGCAGAATTTCCCACTTGCGTTACTGAGAATTCCGCACACCCTGGTTCAGTAATCGTGGACTGCATACTTTTGCTTGATTCAGGTGTTAATGTCGACAATTCAGCATTACACGTACTGTTCCACGATCTATCTATCAGTAGTACAATCTAGTCTTAAGGTTGCAAAATTGCTACATTTATTAGCACATGAAATCCACGTAATTCCGTGTGCAATTCAAGACTTGCTCACGTTCTACAACGATTCGTGCACTAATTTCCAATCAAACATGGCTTTACTTAACAATCCTGCTGCTATGTTCCTACGCGCTTAACGCCCTGGAAAAACGTAATTAGATACGTTACTGTCGCTTACGTCTACGTCGCTTCTTTGACGGTAACGAAATTACAACTTACTTGATACACCATCAAATTTATAATAAATCAAGGAAATAAATCAAGTTATTGTTGATAATCTTGAACGAAAGCTGCCTTGCCATTTTTCGTCATGCCAGTAATTCCTACGGGCAAAATTACTTGAAATTAAAAAGAGTAAAAAAGGCTCAACCTTGCTAAAAGTATAATAATTTCATCGATGGCGAAAGTTTTTTTAGGAGGGCTAATATCATTGCTTTGGCGTCGTACAACTTATGAAAAAACATGTGAAATTAATTCATAATTTTACTAGTCCCCATGCGATTACTACACTAAAAATATCACATTCCTAGGGTCGATTAGCTATTGCCAGAAGTAGGGTTCTTCTACATTTCTTGGCTAGCAGACCCACACGCACAATATACAAATTGATTTGAGTGATACTGTGAACTTGATACTGTTATATTCCTATTTTTTCCAATATGTCAACAAGTTATCGTGATTATTTTCCGGGAGTTCAGGAATTGGGAGTCAAGTGCAACTCTCGAATGTTCCCAGTCCTTGTCAGACTCTCGTATTGTAGAGGCGAGCAGAAAACGCGAGGAAGCCACAATTGTTCACCACCCTTATCATTCGACATCAGCATGTCGCAAACTTCTTCATGTTGCGAAGGCCTCAGGAGGTCCTTCATACACGAAATATCCCTTCGTAAATCGCCGGCCGGCTGGTAAGACCTTCCGCGAAGTACGCGAGCTGCCTGTACACCAGAGGCGATGAGAATCTGCTCACAGACTATTCGATGGTCCCTTTTAACAAAGGGCCTGGTAAAGGCTAGAATTTGCCATCATATGTTTCACCCCCGCAATAAAGCTGAAGGTGTCAGAAATTAAGTTTCATGTGCGAACCAATTCGTGGTTTCGACACACCCCAACCCCTGACTGAGTATCGTGAATATTACCACTCGCAATAAACCACGGCACGATCATTCTGTGAAGTGTATTTCCGCGAACAACATGCGTCTCATACTCCTCGTGACGACTCTTTTCATTCTTCTTGCTTTTTGCAAGGGAAAGACACGACGAACAATGAAATCTGGTCGAGGAAGCGTCAAAGTTAACAAGCGTTCTGTTACTGGTTGGTGATGTTTTGGTTTTTTGTTATCTGTTGCTAATTTTGGTGTGATATTTGGCGTACGTTCGTCTTCCATTTTATCAGCAGCAATGCAGAATGCAGATAACACGGAACTCTGTACATAAAAAAAACGTTCGACCTCTTTTTCCATTTGTGCCTTTTATCCATCTTCTCTCTTCGATCCTAGCACGTCAATCGGCGTAGACATATATTGTATAAACACAACTTGATGTCTTATGATCACACAGAAGAAAAATGTAGAAAATATATGCTGATTTTTGAAACAATGTAGTTTAAAGACCTTCATGGTACTCGAAAAGATTAATCTATATCAAAGGCAAGGATATAGTTGGTCATGTTATGAAATGCGTTGCGTTTTTGAGCTTATTGCGGGCTTGGTGCGATTATCAGAGTCGAGTTATATGATGCGATTGTAGTTGTTAGACATAAGAGCATTGTATGGCCAGGGATGTACTTAGACAACATCCAGAATGTGAATCATGTATTTTTAAGTTTACATTCGTAAATATCTGCACTACAGAAGAAGACAACTCGAATTCAAAGCCCCTGGAGAGTATCATAATCACATGCGGGCGGGGTTAATTACATTCTTTGGCTTGAAACAAAGCAGTGATAGTTGTGAAAGTTGTATGCAGTGATCGTGAAAAAACATTTACCGTGATCTGCCCAATACGTATTACAGTTTTCACATCTGCGAGCAAAAACAAGAGAGTGAGAGGAACAGAGAGAAATCATAGCTAGCTAATTAAAGAAAAAATTACAGCCAAAATTTAGTTAAGAATGTGTACTGATAAAAGATCTAATGAATATTGTTGAGATCATCGATACAAGAGATCAAATAATTTGACATATATTTAATTTATTACCTGCATGCTTTTTTTAACTGAATAAAAAATAAGTAAGTTTTATAGTTCAGCCCACTCTTCGTCCAAATCCACAGATAAGGTATGCGCCTCTTCGGATCACCAGAACTGCAGGTACTGGAGCGGTTTGGGATATTGCAATCCAAGCAAGTCCTTTTACAAGACGATGGTACTTAAGTGTAAGGGAGCGTGTAACTTGTGTGGAGGTGAGTTAAAAATAAAGCACTGAAAATCGTGCCTGGTCTCTTTTCTTTCTGTTTGTAATATTTTAAAATAGGGTTTATTAGAAAGTTTTTCGGCGCTGTTACAGTGTTTCTTGTGAAATAGCCTCGACACATCGCCCTTTCATCGGAAATAAAAACACCTCAATCTCACACCTTACCGAGTTTTAAAAGTTTAACATCATTGACACCACGCGTAATTGTTGAGGACATTTGTCCAAGTTTTGTCGATGTTTATCATTCAAATTAGGTGGAAAGCAAGCATTTTTCCATCCCATGCGATGATCTGCTACTTGCTGCTCACTTCTGCCCAAAATTTGTGGGGTTCATCCCCCACTCGATGGCAGCTGAGCGGAGGATGCGTTTTGGGGGAAATTACGCAATTTACATGTAACAACTCTTATCTTCAGGGAGCGTGAGTCAAACTGAGGCCATCGCCTGATACCTGAAAATTGTCAGAACACTTGAAATAAAGCATATTCCAGTTCTGTTTCGAGTTTGAGTTCGACTGAGATGGACTTCGTGCTGGACGAAGTCACGTTTCGAGTCAACAATTTGCCAGGCTCCTCAATTTGCTTAATCCGTTTTTAAAAAGGCAAATAATTACGCCATCGCTCTACAATAACCTCGTTCCCATGCAAAATAAGTAGCATTGTGCATTTTATCCGGATGCCGCCTTTGGAGGAGGTTCGTTGATTTTTGGTCATGTCACAACGGGTATTGACAGGAATACAAAGGGGGAAGGCAGGCTATTTGTGCAAAGCATTCTTTTTTGTTTCTTCACAGACAAGAACTGCCCCGATCATGTTCATTGCCATTCCTGGAAACAGAGAGGTTTTTGTCGACCTGGAGGGCCATATTACTCCTACATGAAGGCGTACTGTCCAGCCACCTGCGAGCTATGTGGTATGTAGAGATGCTTTGTTTTAATGTAACGCTGGAAGAGGAAGCGAATTGATCAGCGACGCGAAGGTTCGGGTCGTATTACGCAACCCGACCCAGACCTTCTCGCTTTTTCCACTCCTACGCGTTCCATCGCACCGTTTACTTGTCGCACTTCGTTTTATTGACCTAAACCCTTTAATTCCCATAAGTGTTTAACATGTAACTTCTCCCTATAACAACCTCATATTATCCAGCCAACAGGTAATGAGAATACTCAAACTTATCAGGTTTATCAGGTCATCGCTCTGACGAAGGGCTAACGCTCGAAACGTCAGCTTTTTTACCCTTTACGGTGGCTAATTTACGTTTTCAACCCAGTTGTAAACACTAAATTACCTGCTATACTCTCCCACCGACGCAGCACCACAGTTTCTTTAGAAACTTACCCCTTTATTCATTTATCAGGTAGAGGTTGGTAGTCTTGATCTGGCAACAAATTCTTCGAACTTATTTACAAGGAAATGTGTAGCAGCTAGAGAGGAGAATTAACAATCAGATCTTGGGAGTTGAAGGGTTAACGTCTAATTTTTACGAGGGTCAGTTTTGAACTAACTTACAGTTAGAACGAATGAATATCAAAGCAAGACTGAGAAATACTGTAATAGCCAAGGGATATTGAAAATAATGGCATCGACTCGTAAGGGCCTTACCTTCCCATGCATGCGACTGTTTCATTTAATTTTCAGCAACACCATCGTGCAGTAACCTTGAAACATTCACTGTATGACGTTAGGCTTTCCATCAGGCTTCTCGAAGTTACTTTATGTTATTGGACAAATTAATTTTAATATCGGCTCTGAGACCAGCTTGATTGTTATTCGGTTTTATGTTTTGTTGATTAGTTTAGGTCTCTTTCTTTTGGTTTTACTCTATGAATAGTCATCCCTTTTCTGCGAAGTCCGTGGCACATGTCAAAATAAATAGTTAAAAAAAAAATTGATGTTAGCGTGCCGCGACGGACTTTTCCGAAGAGAATGCTCTTAGTCTATTTGATTTTTTAAAACATTCTATTTGACGAATGCATCAGTGTTTTGTAATTTACTACACTAATAGGTTGCGTTCCTGAGCCAAATAATGATCCATCCTGCGCTTTTTTGACGAAAGCCGGTTATTGTAACCCTAAACATCGATTCTATGGCTATATGATGAACAACTGTCAACGTTCCTGCGGTTTTTGTCCCGGTAAGTTAATGAGGAGGTTAAAATTTAGAACGACGCAGAGAAATAACGAGGTGATGTGTAATTAAGTTCAGAAAACTACCTGATTTTCTTACGTTGGTGTTGATAGCCTTAGTCTGTTGCGTACATATGAAAATACCACGATCGGTCTTTCGAGGCGACTTTCTTTAACCTCTAAGCAGGCTGAAGCCCTTACTAACGAATGAACTGCTTCGTAAAAATAATCAAAAGGAAATGTGGGATATGAAGTTATCTTAAATGTGTTATTTCTCCTTTGATCAAAAACGACGAAACAGACTGTTATGTTTGAAGGCCTTTCTTAAAGCAGCATCAACATACCTGCGATGTTCAATTTATCTACAACAACAAGTCGTGGCAATTATGTGTGTTATGTTTCCTTTCTCTTTTAAATCTTGTTTTTAGGATCGTCAAAGACTGAACCAACAACGTCTACAACGCCTGCTTCGTCAACGACCGCTGAACCATCTACAACGCCTAGTCCTTCAACCACAGGTGTACCATCCACGACGTCTAGTCCTTCAACCACTGATGCACCATCTACGACATCTACTCCTTCAACCACAGATGCACCACCTACGAAGTCTGGTCTTTCGACCACTGATGCACCATCTACGACGTCTGATGTTTCAACCACAGGAGAACAATCTAGTTCGTCATCAAATACTACCGCTGCTCTGACAGCTGAAGGTATCACAAAAATTGCCATTCTTACACATTTCTCTTCTTTTACGGAAATCTCGAATTTAAAATCATTTTAATCGTTTATTTACAGTTGATGCTTGCTTAAAAGCACACAACGAAAGGCGTGCGCTTCATGGTGCAAGTCCGCTGGTCTGGGATGATACACTGAGAGAGCATGCGCAGGCTTGGGCCGATCACCTGGCTGAGACTGGCAAAATTCGTCATGACCCAAACCGAGACGAGGAAGGAGAAAACATAGCTTGGTTTAAAGGATACAAAACTGCAAACTGTGAGGATGCACTGATAGAATGGTAGGCTGTCTATTAAGTCCTGTATCGATTAAATTTCAATTCCCCTCGACGTAAGTGTAAATTCAAAACATTTCGTACTCGATTGACTTCTCGAGTTTATCATTTTTTACATTTATGCGTCAAGTACTCTTCTGCTTTTTTAACAACTCACTTCCACAGCAGTTACCTTCACTAAACGAATGCTTAAGAAATGTCTTTGCATGGTTCCACAAAGGAAAACAACGTTTCAAGTTAAAATTTGACTCTGTTCTGTGATTTGCTCCCTCGCTTTCTCTCTCTCTCCTTTAAAGGTACGACAGAGAGGAACCAAAGTATGATTATAAGAATCCTGGATTTTCTCCTGAAACGGGCCATTTTACCCAGGTAATTGAAATAAATCTTACAAACAGGTCACTATAGAAACCAGATTTGAATTGATTGTCGAAGGTAACCTGTATTTTGATTGGTCTAAATATTTCTGCTACCTTCTCAATTAATCAGATGCAAAACCAGAATTAATCAAACTTATAACAAAATTCTCGAATGTGATTCGTTGTCAACGGCCAGATTTAAGCAATAATAGGATAGTGTACGTGTCATGCTTGTAATTGGACAGTGTAATAGCACGGTTGACACGTCATGCCTGTTTAACTGGACGGTGCGTGCGCTGTTTTTGCGCATTTTGCCGTGCCGAGTTATCTATTGTTTTTTTATCAAAACGTATCACCGATCTCTAGTTGCTTTCTCAAATTTTGTCCAAGTTTCCTATTACCATTAGTAATTGCCACTTAGTCCTTGCGTTTTCAGCGTTCCAGGATGTTTTCACTTTGCTGGAATTTACTTCGAATCGAGGTCACACATGTTATTGGTTTTGATTTACGACAGTCAAAGGAAAAGCGCTCCATCCAATCACTAATAAATTTGCACTGAAAAGATTGAATAACAAGGATTTAGCGACAATCAGCAGCAAAAAGGGCCAGTACTCCTTTTGTATTATTCATTCTAGTAAAAAGAATCAAGTTAAGTTAAAATCAAAGAAAATACAATAAAGAAGCCTGAGACGAATTCATGTTTCGACAAAATATAAACTCGTACCCCCCACCCCCGAGCCCACATACTGAGTGAGCGCAACTACCAACTATACAACAAAACCACAATTTGAAATAGAAGCAAATGTTTTAGATTGTTCTTCGTTCCTGTAATACATTCTAATCATAACTATCAAAAATAAAACCACTGGATTATTAATGCAAATGTTTTAAAAACCCCTGTCATAGGTTGTATGGAAGGACACCAGAGCAGTAGGAGTCGCTCAAGCCTCCAGAGGCTCAGGTTTTTCAAAACAGATCTTTATCGTGGCTCGTTACAGTCCTTCAGGAAACTTCATTTTGAGGAGATTTAAAGAAAATGTGGTGGGGAGACGAAACCAGCCAAATACCACGCCTAGCTGGAAACGTTCATCCACCAGAGGCTCAAAGACAACACCTGACACCTTAGTCACCAGAAAAGCAGTAACAACAATACAGCCTTCGGCCCCTGCCACATCTCTTACAGCTGAAGGTAAGACGGTTGCGAAACGTTGATTATATCATACGTTGAATTATACGCGCGTATTGATTGATTCTTTCCTATGATCTATTGGAGGACTGACGCATAGATGACATCACCGCGAACAATATTTTGCTTTTTTATCACAAAAAAAAAATAGATTCTATGTTGCTGGGGGTCTGCATTGCAGTGATAAATCACAGAAGACGCCAAAATGTGGTAAGAAAATCAGTGATACACTCGGCTGCGCTTTGTATGCCACTTTCTTGTGTTCTTACCACGCTTTGATCTCTGTGATCTGTTACTGTACAGACGTACGGCAACATGAAATCTATTTATTAAACTGCAAACCATACTTCGGCCTCTTTAAACCGACTCTCCTTTCTTCTCCCATCTGAGCATCTGAAAGACGTTTGAACGCTTCAAATCAGGTCATAATAATAATAATAATGGTTTATTAACAGTGTATCCATCTAGGGGCTCTTCACCTGTTAAAAACTACAATGTAAAATGAAAAATTGCAATACACTACAAAAAAAAACAAAAACAAAAAAATTATGAAGTCTACAATATAAAAAGCAATAACATTGGACTATAAAAGGATAATGTATGAAAATGTAACATATATTGGTAATAGTAATACAACCCTATATGCAATTTACAAACTATTTACAAATATTTCGTGAGATACTAGCACGATAAGTGATATATACGTTCCAACTTAATGAGAAATTCATCCTCCTTGCTAAAAAGCAACCTCAGCTGAAACGAGATACGAATATAGCGTTTCGATTACTAAGAGCATTTTTCATACTGTCCTGTCGTGTCGGACTGAATTTCCTAAGGTGGAAAAGTTATCATTTTTAGAATAATTATAGCTGATTTGTATGATATGTATATATTTTTATTTAACAGTAAAAGCTTGCTTAAAAGCCCACAACGAAAGGCGCGCGCTTCATGGAGCGAGTCCGCTGGTCTGGGATGACACGCTAGTAGAGCATGCGCAGGTCTGGGCAGATCACCTGGCTGCGACTGGTAGAATTCATCATGACCCAAACCGAGACGGCGAAGGAGAGAACATAGCTTGGTTTAAAGGATACAAAACTGCAGATTGTGAAGATGCTTTGGTAGGCTGGTAAGCGTAACGTCCTTTATCCATTGAATTTCAGTCCCTTTCGAAATTTTAAAACAGGTTGTACTCAATGTCCATCACGAAACTTTTCATTTCTAGATTAATGCATCCAATAAACTTTTCTAGTTAACAGCTCACTACTACAGCAATTTCTTCCACTGAATGAATACTAAATTAATCTTCTTCGCATGGTACCACATATAAGATTATCTAATCTTATCAGTTGACTCCAAGCTATGATACCTTCCATCTCTCTCTCTCTCTCCTTGCAAGGTACGACAGAGAGGAACCTTTGTACAATTATGAAAAGCCTGAATTTTCTCCCGGAACGGGCCATTTTACCCAGGTAATTTCCTGAATCTTACACAAATAGTACAATATAAGACGGATTTTAACTGAGGTTCGAAGGGAATCTGGGATTGTATTGGTTTTACTTTATTTCGCCTTGTGATTGGACTAAAAAAAACTCGCGCCACCATTCTAAACAGATGCAAGACCAATTGTTTGTTGGTCGTCCGCGTTTACGCGCGCCACAAGCCGTATTCTTAATTTTTTAGTGCTATTTTCTTTGTTCTGATGGGCCGGTGAGAGAACTCTTGTTTGAATTTTACGTCACTTAAACGAAAAGCGTTCTATTACTTAACAGACACGATGAAACCAAGAGTATTTATCAAAGAGAATCTGGTAAAACCAGAAGCCAAAAAAAACAACGAAACGTTTTGGATTCAGTTTATGGAAATGAAGAACTGACTCTCACGAAGCCTAGAAAGGCACACGTCAACGGTATTTGAACGTGCCGACTAAATACTACTTAGCCGCTATTATAAGCCTCATTAACAAATCCAGGCAGCTTTTAGAGGGTTCTTCGTCCCGTAAAGGAATCTTCTCACAATTAACGCAAACGAAATAAAGGGAACAAGTTTCTAAAGAAACTGTGGTGCTACGTCCATATGGGGGTATGACAAGATAGTTTCATTTCATCAACTGGGTTCATTATGTAAATTGGCCACCGTAAAGAATTTCTGGAGCTGACGTTTCGAGCGTTAGCCCTTCCCCATTTGCTGTGACGAAAGACAAATGCTCCAAATGTTAGCTTTATGGTGGCCAATTTACATTAGCAACTCAGTTGATTAAACCAAATTAAGAAATAGATACACTGGATCGAAGATATGATAGTTTTGAACACCCTTGAAATGTTTTTAGGTTGTATGGAAGGCTTCCACAGCTGTAGGAGTCGCTCAAGCTTTTAGAGGCTCTGGCTTTTCGAAAGAGATCTTTATCGTAGCTCGTTATAGTCCTTCGGGAAACGTTTTGAGAAGATTTAGAAAAAATGTGGGAGAGAAAAGAAATCAACTAAATACCACGCCTAGTTGGAACCGTTCATCCGCCGGCGGCCCCAGAACTACACCTGAAACCTTAGTCACCAAGAAAGTAGTGACAACAATTCAACCTTCAGTGCCCGCCACATCTCTTACAGCAGAAGGTAAGAAAACGATTGAGCTACGCAAATTCAGACTGAATCCCCTTCTTCTTCCATCATAGCACCTGGACGACGTTGAACGATCAACTTGCATAAGGTCATTCTGATTCGTAGGAAAGTAGTCTTATTACTTAACTCTTCGACCCTTAAAGAGTGACCAGCATCTAATTTCTCCGTACAATATCATCCCTAAATTAAACAATAACGTCACAAGAATAAAGGAAATGATCTAAAGAAGCTCTTGCTTGTTCAAAAAGATTTTCCTTCTCATAAGCTAAAGAAATGTATAGAGAACGGTATGGAAACTACGCATATTGATGTTCGGTTGCAAAAGGCTAGGGAAATTATATTCAGTCATAATTTAAATGCTTCTCCCTTCGTTAAAAGGCAGCCTAAGCTACAATGAGATATTTCAAAAATGCTTTCCGGTAGTGCATTTTCATATCGCCTTGTGTTTTTTTTTTCAGCCCTATAACTGATCTTTTATCATCTTTTTTATTTCACAGTAAAAGCTTGCTTAAAAGCACACAACGAAAGGCGTGCGCTTCATGGAGTAAGTCCGTTGGTCTGGGATGACACATTGGTAGAGCATGCGCAGATCTGGGCTGATCACCTGGCTGAGACAGGTAAAATTCGTCATGACCCAAACCGAGACGGCGAAGGAGAAAACATAGCCTGGTTTAAAGGTCACAAAACTGCAGACTGTGAAGATGCTTTAGTAGGATGGTTAGTGGCACTTAAGTTTTGTAAACAGTTTATTTCTCAAAAAAGTTTTCTGCCAGCTTGCATAGTAAGAGAATGAATGAGACTTGCGTCAATTTTCTTGTTCTTTTTCTCCTCTTGAGGTACGATCGTGAGGAGCCAATGTACGATTATGCGAAACCTGGATTTTCTCCCGAAACAGGTCATTTTTCTCAGGTAAATTAGAAAGGCCTATATTAGTCACTCAATAAACGGAGTTCACACAAATCGTTGTGTGCGTAGGTTATAGAAGTTAATTTCCTTATCAAGGTGGAGTGACCGACAAAAAATTAGCACACATAGGAGACCATTCATTTGAAAGGAATACTTCGAGCGATCGAAATCCAGAGACGTTTTCCGATGATGGCCATTCTTGACGGTGAAGAATAGAATATTACAGATCTAGTCCTTTGAGAACAGAATATAGCACTAAAATTCAAGGGATACATCTTCGTGATGTCTCTAAGACAGACGCTATCTTTTGCGTTTTTCAGGAGAGCGGAGATAAGTGAGAGGCGGGTGCGAAGGGCGAGGCACGCGCGAGGAAGGGGTACTCCGCCTCTCGCACGAAACTTGCCCTTCGCAGTTGGCGTCCCTCGCCTTTAAAACGCAATAAATTACCCTTATCCCCTCGAATAATGATGTCTACAACGTAACACTAAATGTTACTCAAACACTGTATGTATTATTTGTTCAGGTTGTGTGGAAGGCGACTACAGCGGTTGGAGTGGCACAATCTTCTAGAGGCTCGGGCTTCTCAAAAGAAATTTTTATTGTTGCTCGTTACAGTCCTACGGGAAATGTTCTGAGAAGATTTCAGAAGAACGTTGGAGTCAAGCGTTCTAAAAGTTAAAGCATAGAATAGCATAATACACTTGTTCTGTTGGGCCTTTACATCAATCATGTCAAATGCCTTCGCGTTTACCATTGAGTAGCTTCTGAGTAACATGTAACACAACAGCACTCTGCAAGAAACCAGAAGTAAAGAAATTTAAGTATAATGAGCGTTGATTTTTAAAACATCCTTTTCTAACTGAGCCACTAGAGATACTCGTCAATGCCAAAAGCAATTTGTTCCTGCTTTGCGTTTTCTTCTTGTACAGAGTTTGCGGCTAGTTTATCTATCGATGGATCTAGCTGCAAGGGTTCACGTGACAGAACTTGTGTAGCTGTTTTGAATTCAATCTGGAAAATTAAATTTTTATTGATGAAAAGCCCCTGGTTTATTACACGCTTGAGTTTCCACTAGAATGTATAACAGATGTTTCTGAAGGTGAAAGAAAAAAAATGAAGGAGGGGTATGGAGTGTCCACCTGCTTCCTCCACTAACAGAAGGAAACTAAAATTCCATAACATGCTAAAACCCGTCTCTTCCAATCCACTTCTCCCTTTTCTTCTCACACATTTGGCAGTCACCCGGTGTAAATTTCAACTGAAAAGTGTCTTGTCCAGAGGAACAACTCAGTAACAATACCAGGCCCTAATGAAACTACCGAGCGACTTGATCAGGGTCCCACGTGTTAACTGTCAGGACACCACATTCCAAAATCAAGTGTCATGCTTTACTTGAGACCCCAAACCAGGTGCCGAGAGCTCAAAACTCTTAGGAGGATCTCTTTAAAGTAACTTTCTCTTACCCTCTCACTACAAAACAGTGATATCCCCCACTTCTTGCTTGAACCTTCCCCAATAGTTTCCTGGGGGCGTGTAACGAGCCACAACGTAGGTCTTGGTCCAAAATCCGCGCTTTATAGTGGCAATGCCGACACCCAGTTGCCTAGTAGACTTCCATACCACCTGTTGGGAACAAACCGTGCTTTTCTTGTTAACCTTTAAGATCTCTAAGAGTGACCAGCATCTAACTTCTCCTTACAGTGATACTGCTGAATCATTGATTAAGATCATGAGAATAAAGGAAATGATCACCAACCTAAGAAGCTTTGATTGTTGAACAAATTCTTCTCATCAGTACCAAAGGAAAAGTATAGAGAACAGTATGGAGAATATGCATACTGATGTTAGAATGTAAAGGATTGATGTGAGAGTCCAAAATACTCTCGTGGTTTACGCTCCTTATGAACGCTAAGTCGTGGATACTTTCGCATGTATCTACGGTTTACGGCCCAAAGGTTATTGCGCATGTGTAAGAATATCACAAGCTGTTTGTGGTTAAGAAAGTACAAACTATGGCGGTTTGCAAACTGTTGCCCCTGGTGGCAGACTTGAACATTTTGAGCTCCCTTAATATATTCCCTCTTCCCTAGAAATGATTTATGTTCATAATATTCCTCTCTTTTTTCATCTCTTAACCCTTTAACCCCTAAGTGTGACTAACATCTAATTTCTCCCTATAACATCACCCCGGAATCACACATGAAGGTCATGAGAATAAAGGAAATGATCTCCAACTAAAAAAGCTCTTGATTGCTAAAACAAATTCTCCTTATCAGCTCCTTAGGAGATGTATAGAGAACAGTATGGAGAATATGCATACTGATAGTAGGGTGTAAAGGGTTGACTAGTAACAAAAAATTAAAGTACTCAACTGATACTCTTAACAAGTAGGTTACGTCGTTGCTATGGCAACTTTTTAAGTCAGGTAAAAATGATCCACACCTGTGTAAAATGTCCAATTTGAACACCAGGTACGTCAAAAATAGATTTCGGGGGATTTGAGAAAGGATAATCAGAAACTTCTCCATACCTAGGAAATAAAAATACAGGAATGAAAACATTAATGCAGAGATCAAAAATTGACAGAAAATTATCTTTCAAGACAAAAAGACGGTCTTGCAACGTAAGTAAACCCAGGCATGTATATATATTACAGATAGTGCGCATGTGCCAATTTAAAACAATACATCACCATATTACCATACTGCTTGCGTGAACCAGCGTATCTAAATTTCCAGAATTTGTTCAATGTGTCATGCGCAAGTTCTACATTCTGTTTTAGTAAGTAAAAACATTTCCGCAATTCCCCATACAAATTTGAATTAAGTAGGTTACCAGGCATCAAGAGCGTCTTTGCATGTTGCTGTCTTTTCGCTGCTACCCATTGAGTAGTAAAGGTTTTCTCCCTCTCCTCTTACACGCGAATGCTCGAATTTATTCCGCTTTGCGAGGTCCAGGGCCCAAGCTTGAGCACTCCGGGCCAGTGTCCTGTTCCATGTCAGCGGTCTAGCCCCGTGCAGAGCACGCGCCAAGTTATGGGCTTCCAGACACTCTTTGAGGTTCACTGTCGATGAAGATGGAAGGATCGAATAGGTTTTTAACCAAAGAGTAAACTTAAATAATAATTGAAAAAAATATTTGATCACTACCTCTTACAGGTCGGGGCCTTGGAGGTGGAGTAGGACGAGCTGAAATGAAAAAAAGGATGATAAAGATTGTATAAACTTTATTGAGTGATCGATAGTTCTACTGCGTGATAGTTGATAAGGGTGGAGCCTGAATCAACTGTCACGCATGAAAATCGAGACAGAACAGAACAATCAAATCATTTCAGTTTAAATCTCCACCAATTGTACGAACCTTATGAACAAGACAAGCTTATATTTTTAGTTTATTTTATTTTAAAACACAGAAATATTCTTATTTACTTCTACTGTAATTTTTCTTCTACAACCACTGCTTGTCTTCCATATTTTTTTTTCTTCTTCTTCAATTTTTGTGTTGGTTTGTGAATACGTATTGACTAACTTACCAAAGCGATCATTATTCAAGGCTTAAATCAATCTAAACTTGGATGAACAGCTCCCTATAGCATAAATTCTTGAGCTTAAGATAGCCTAGAAGAAGACCCTTTAACCTCTAAGAGTGACTAGCATCTAATTTCTCCTCACAGCATCACTCCTGCTTCAAACATTAAGGTCATGAGAATAAAGAGAACGATCAGCAACAAAAGCAGCTATAGAGGATATGTATAGAGGATATGTATGCTAAGATATTTTTCCTCTGTTTTGATAAGCCGACTTGTTTTGATTGATTGCTACGACACACATTTTAAATGGGCTTTATCTAATAAAAAATTAGCTCTGTTAAAATGATCCCCTTACAAACCTTGACAAATGCCGCAAGAGGCAGGACAGTTGGTCGACACAAAATCATAGTAGAGGTTCCCTTGATTACAGTATCCTTGCTTTTCCCAGTGGTTACATCCGGCGTTTTTATCTCCTCCTCCCATGGGACATACTAAAAGATGAAAAGAAAGTCGTTGAAAACATTCAAATCCACATAAGATTCACTGGAGAAGATATCGCACAAGAAACCGTTGAAAAAAACTATTGCTCATATATCTCTGTTTCAAAAGTTGCCAGATAACTAAGGAAATGATTAAAACCAAATATTATCAGCATTGACTGCACCTTGCTTGAATGAATTACTACAGGTCCTTAAAATAAATTCGATAGAATTGTTACATGGCGTAACAGAATTAATCTAACATCTTTGGGGGAACGAGTTATGACGATCACTCGCCTTTGGGATGTTACTATGGTGACTTAAAATTTAGCCTATGTGCAAGTTCAAATATAAAGTGGCTAAACATAATTTTTTTAAAATTCCCGATAATTGTATCGCGATCAGCTAATCGTAATTCTGTAATAAGACATGCACATCACCATGTTAGTCTTCAGCAACCAATTACGGAATCAAGGGTATTGTTGACTGCCAAAGAGGTTTCTGTGCGAGACTATGTAATGGAGATTATCAATATAGTCCCACAATGTTAAGAGATTTGATTGTTACAATATTTTTGTCATAAGATATGATGGATTTGATAAATTAAAGCGCAGGTTCTGTAAGAGGGGAAATTTGTTAGTTCAATTCAGGTCATGATTTATGCTCGCTAAAATTTCTAAATTTTGCGTAGGTATTCTCTGAACTGGGAAACCACCAAAGAAACCTTTCCGACTTTTTAGATGACTTTTCTGGGCCTTGGGGAAGGTACTTTCTAAACCTTGCGATAAAAACTGTTTAAAATGCGAAAAAAATTATCTCATGAAATTATGAAAAGGCAAAAGAAAAAAAAAAAAAGATGAAATTGCTTTTTTCTGAGATTTAACGAAATGTATACATGTACCTTAAAACAGATAGCTACCGGGTATACTTGCCTAAGTCACATGATCATGGGTAACTCAAGATCGAAATATTCACCTTTTCAAAGATTCAAACCATTTTGAGACAAGATTGTAACATTACTTACGGCCTTTCTTTGCAATGGCATAGCGGTGAAGCGGGGGTCTGGCAAGCTTGCGATGCCGACATTCGCTCAAGACCAACATTAACACAAGCAAGAACGCCACCGTTATCATCGTCATCGAAGCCATCTGTGAAAATAAGAAATGGGAGAATGTAAAATTATTTTCAGCTCACTTGTGAAACCTCCTTGTTTTTCAGCTTTAAGCTAGAGTGAGACGCCAGTAATTACCTGCAGTCGGAATTTTATATCATTCGCGGAGATAATTTCTATAATCTGTCTTGATTCCTTTAAAGCCCTTGATTAAGAGTTGGAAATTAAAATAGTCGTGATTAAATTCTTAATCAGATCGTGAATAATTTATAGACTTTGGTCTCTTTCTTGTTCACGTAGACATAGAAATGAACTGTGAAATTCAGAATAATGGTGTGAAAAATTAAGGAATTTTCTTTGTGAGCTTTCAATATTAAACAAAAAAGCGTAAAAGTATACGTTTTTTATCCACACTTGGAGATATGTTTAACTCCCACGTTTTAAATACATGATATCCGAGCAGAGAGCTGACATGTCATGTTTTATTCAATAAATTACTTTGTGCTAGTAATTTTCGTTTTTGAAATAGATAAAGAACTCGATAGCAAGAGATCTGTCTGTGAGGTATTCTCGTGCGACATAACTTAAATGGAAATAAAAACAAATGGATTAGCAATTTTTGGTTTTTTCCAACCGACACTGATATTTCAATACAAACCAAAATATTCCAAGTCCACCTTTATCAGCGTTCCTTGAATTCACGATACCAGCTCACTTAGTAAAAAAGAACTTTGACTCTACACAAGAAAGGATAAAGTGTCTCTTGCTCTGAAGCACAACCACCGCGTTTAGCTCATTTTCTGAGTAACAATGCACTTTTCTCTCCTTTGTTATTATGCAATAATACACGGACACAGAAATTTCTGCCCAGTTTAAAAATTCGTTTATGCTCTTCAAGTCGTTCAATCTCTCAGGGAAAGAGAGCAGATTGGTCGCCATGAATCTATATATTCACAACAAATGTGTAAAATTAATCATATTTCAGCCATGGATGATAAATAGTTACAAATAATTCCTCCCCTCGCCCTCCCCCTGTAAGCTATAATTAATTCAGAGGCATGACACGATAGCGAAAGAAAACTTCAGACTGCGACGCCACACTATACACGATTCAGAATACCTTGCAACTTTTATGTAAGCGATGTAAGTTTCACCAAGGCAAGATAATGAATATTTATATTTACGCAGTAAATTTAAGGAAACATGTACCGTGAAGTTCGGCTCCAAAGAGAGAATGCTAAATGACTTGTTTGTTTGATTTCGTTCCAATAAAATACGTTTCTAATGTCAGAATTCATCTCAATTGCTTAAAATTCAGAAATTCGAGTTAAGGTTATTTAATTTTAAAAGTAACACACACCACTTTTTCCCTGTAACTTTAAAAGCAAAGAAAGGTTCGTAATATCTTTTTTAGCATCGTGGGTGGTAAGTATGTTTCAGTCATACATTGGAGCTGCACTAAAGTATTTGTCATTATTTTTTTTAACCTGTGGTCAATCTTTTAGCCAGGCCTACGAATAAGTATGGGCTTTCCCATTAAGCTCATTTGCTCGCACTGAATTGTATGTGTTTTATCCGGTTTAAGGACGAATTCTCTGTTCGTTCACGCAAAAGCCTGGCAACATGGCGAAGATCACCCATAATCCTTAGTAAGACACTTCTTGATTTACATACATCTCAAAGAAATACGCATTATATTTGATCAATGGCGCGCAACAGTTAAACACGTAACCTACACTACACTTTTTACTCGCTCGCTTCCATTGAATAGTTTGTCAATCACTGCAGGGTACACGCACACAAAATGTTTCTGTTTGGCCACGTAGCCTTAGGAAAGCCATTCCACTAACTTTTTGGTAGGCCCCTCTTGTAATCAATTTGCTCTCCCTAAGTTTTTGGCGGGAATTTCCAAAATGATGAGATGCAAACTTTGAAATGATTGTGCACATTCCGAAACTCGAAAGCTGCACTTGGTCTGTTTTCCAAAACCTCATCGGTAGAAACAGTTGGTCATATTAGCTCGTATAGCTCCTAATTCGACCTTTGCTGTTGGAGCATAGTGTCACTCATGTCATGACCCTCCAGTTTTCTGTTCAGCGATGCGTTTTTGATAAGTCTTAATAAATGTTCCATTATCATAAAATAATCGACCGGTTACATTAGCCAGACCGGAACGAGTGGCAAAAAAATTTGGCAAAGGTACCATGCTTAATGAGGTGAATGCCTAAATAAAAAGGAGAATAAGTTATTTTAGCTTTGTTCTGTTTTTTTTCTTTTGTTGCTGTAAGTGTTAATTATCTTTACGATTTTACGATTGCCTCTCAGTTTTTCACATATTGCTGTACAATTGGTTTTCTCTTGTAAATGTTTAACTTCGAAGCTGCTACAGAGAGTTTAAGTACAAACGATAAGGTGGCAGTGATGTTTTTAATAAAGAAATTAACCACAGACAAAAAAGTGCTGCGGTAACTATAAGCATTCTAATTGGATGCTGGAGTTTGAAATATTATGATGACCGACGAATTACTTTAATTAAGTAGATGGCTATCTGCTTTCAAGTTGGTTTAACTTTTGGAGATACGTTCAATAAAATAACCCAATTGATGCCAATATCCTTGATAAGAAACAAAGTATAAACAAAATCAAACAAACCCGATTGCCATATTGCGGAAATTCGCACGCTATCTTAATCAAAAAATAAACAAAGAAAAAAAAAGACTTGATGATCAACAACCTTTACCTTTTTCTATAGGCTCGTTGTTAGCTAGTGCAAACTGGATGATGGATAAGGTTTCAGCAGGTCTCAAAGGGTGAGAGGCTTTTACCGCAAACGTTTAAAAATATAGTCATTTTACAGCTAACAGTTTATTTATTTCCCTTGCGATTAAAAGAAAAAAATTACAATTAACTTTTTTTACAACAAACGGTTAAAATTTTTTTTAATTTTTACGTGAAGTGATTGATATAAGAAAGTGTTCCCTTGATCTTCTCTTTGGAGTAAACCTTCATGAAACTTCATGCAATAATGCGGATAAATTAAATTAAATTAGAAAATAACACCACGCCAGAATACATCAAGCCCATAACTCAGATGACTGTAACTCTTTAAAAAGTTCTATAATACAATTCATGCCTCTCATCTTATTTACCCTTCTAGAAGGATTTTTTTTTTAATCTTCTTTGTCTGTTTTACTCTTTTGAGAGCAAAGTAGGGAGTCAAATAGTAATAGCACAAAATACGACAGCGGCACATTGTAATAAATTGTAACTTCAAAATAAAATGCAGGTGAAATCACGTAGGTAAATGAAAACTGACGCGCTTACTGGACATGACGAGAGAACAAGAAATAAAGGGAGAAAAACAGTACAGTAGAATTAAAGAAATCGTGGTCGTTTAATTAAGTGCATGTAATTTGGCAAAAAAAAAGAAAAGAAAAGTGACAAGAGCATCACTCAGGTGAAAACCTGGGTGCCTGTTAAGAAATATTTGTTACATAGTAGCGAAGTTATGACCTGTTCACAGAAATTTCACCACAGACTTTTTACCTTTTTAAAAATTTCCCTACCTTTAGACAAAGATGCCTGCTTTAGTGCAAGAATGTTTCCCTGCATGGATTAAAACTAAATGGTCCACTTGAAGCGAGTGGTTGCTTTTATGACAGAAGTACTACTATACTTGCAATTTCACTTAAATAGCTGCTGTGGAGTGACCAGATAAGAGAGGAAGCATATTTCAGCTTAATGGGAGTTGCGGTTTTGTGGTAAGTTTTGAAAGAAAGAACGAAGATGATATGTCGAATCTTGGGTACAACTTGTGACACATCGTCAACCACATAATTTCAGTTTTCTTAATTTTGCTAAGATTCCTTCCAATCGATAAAAAAGAAAAGCATAAACATACATGAATAAATGAGTTTCAGCAGATATTTCATTTCGACGAAAAAGATGAAAAAAAATATTTAACAGTGTCTTGATGAGCTCGTCAATTACACAAGTTGAAACACCGTCAAACCACTTTGTAGCAGCGTAAATCCTTTTTAAACCTTTTTCCTGCAGTTCCACATTGATAGAAAGCACACCCTGTTTCTATATATGAAATATAAAATTTAATTTTCCATTCTTCCAGTCACTCATGTATCTCCTGTCGCAAGAAAAACAAAATAAACTTACAGCGCCTTCGAGTCTGCTGATAAAATCCAGTGTAAAATTTTTTTAGGGAAAATAAAAGGAGAAAAAAAAAGATTTCAATTTTATCTCACATAAGAACACAGACTCTGGATCTCAATGCAGATTACTGCCCGAACTTTGTAGTTCTGTAATCGCAAAAAGAAATAGGAAATTGTTTCAATTTGTCTCGCATTCCCATGTAAACTTTCGAAACACCCTCAATCAGTGATTATATGATCACAGTCAGACCACAACTGATTATGAAATCAGCTTAAGGTTGTTATTTCAATGACAACCCGAAACAGCCTCAAACACCTGCTTTTCTCCAGAAGCCAAAAATAAAAATGCGTATATTTCTTCAAATGTGAAATAAATATTCATTTTCAGATTCAAACTGAAAAAATTTTGGCGATATTTTCATCTGCAACCATTATGTTGTTCCATAAGCTTGCACTATAAAACATCCGTTAAAAAAAATGGAAAACCCTTACAGACGTAATTTTTAAGGAGGAAAAAAGCAGGAAATGAGCTCCTAAGACTATGATCTAGAATGATCCATCATTCTATTATCTTTTTTCTCCCGTGCAGCGAGAAAAGTTCTTCTTTCACGATTTTTATTCGTTCAAAAATCTTAATGTATGCGCATTTGTTTCCGTTGTCTGATTACGCTTTCTACAGAACAGAATGCCAACATTTAAGGCGAAACTTTTTTCTTATTACCAGAAGTAACCTTACAATGACTTAATTATTCTTAAAGAATTTCTCTATAAGACGCTTCAAATAAGATTTTAAAAAGCCACACCTTTGACTCAAAGGAACGTTCCATTTTACGTTTTTCAGAAGAAACAATGACCTTGTTACTTTACGGTCTGAGAGGCTGCTTAGTACAATAAATCCTTTCATGAGATCACCATGAGGCCTGTGACATACATACCTTCTCTTTCCAGATCAAAACGCCTTGAAAAAAAGAATCTTGATGTAAAGTTGATCGACTTTGGTGAGGAATGTTTTTGTTGTGCTATACACGCAAGCCAATAACCAAATGAAGGTATGAATTAGTGGGCAAGAAAATAAAAACCGCCCTGGTGTTTACATTTCCAATTCTGCTTCTGATATCTTTAAGTGGTTTGAAAAATTATACCGATGTTCGAAAGTAGGAGTTTGAGCATGCGCCCTAGTTGAGTTCAATGTCGCTGTTGTAAATTTGGCCTTTTTACTTTCGTTGCAAATATTGCATGACTGGAGCTAAGGAAATGCTCTCCATTCTCTTTTCAACATTTTGAAGTAGTTGGTGACGTGCTGCTGAGATGAACCTTTATAGATATGAGTTTTTTTAATATTCAGGAAAGTTCCTGCCTTGAGTGTAATGAGAATATTATCAAATGTTCCATCAACTCAAAAATAAATTCAGTCTAACAATTATTCCTGAACGGAAGTTTTTCCCCCTAAATTGCCGGTACTTCTATGTTCTCCAATAATTTCTGCTAGCAGGAATGAAAGATCACGAGTAAGGAAGCAACATACTTCCAAAACCTATTATTGTTGACAGAAATGAAATCAGTCCATTACTGATTTTGTGATTATTGCATTACGGCAGAACCGGCAGGAAATACACCAAATGCTTTGTTTTAGAAAGTACAGTCTTGGATTGAAATATGTCCCTAAGAGGTACTTCCGAAGTCAGATTAGCAATCTCCTTCCCACCTCGAACCCGCGATGAGACTTGAAAAAAAATTCGAGTAATCACCTGAGGATGTGGAGATCATTTGTTTCAGATGTGATAAATGGCTTGAAATCTCTTGCCGCTTCAGTTATGTATGCTTGAGCTTTTCTGACTGAAGTGCCTCTGGACTGATAAATTATGTACTAAGAATCAGTCATTACCAAGCTCCAACTTATAATGCTAAAGTTTTCCCATCAATTCTATCTAATAAAAACAAAAGTACTGGCGCACGAAACTAAAAAAAATATAAAATTTTTTTGAAATCAATTCTTTTGAGCCAACGTTTAAATGACATCTCCTCAACTTTCGCATACGCAGTGTTTTTCTTTTCTTTTTGTTTTTTTTCTTAGCTTTGTCAAAAAATAAAAATACAGGCGCGTGATTGATGGATTTATTCAGGTGGAGCACGGTTTTTGTCGTGGGAGGATATTTTTTGATAAGAAATATCTCCAGAGGAATTATAGGTCCCAAAATCTCAGCCATAAACATTCCGCCATTTGTAATTCCTAAAACCTTCACAAATACCATTTTTAATGTTTTATTCTGTAATCTATTTAGAAGAAATGTCACATTTACAAGCTCCTACCAGCGCCCTAGTCACAATATTGTGAATGATATAATATTGGTCTAACATAACTAAAATTAATGATCTTGTTCCTGAGTGCAATTGTCTTTGTGGTGCATACTACGGGTCCAATAGAATACATCAACAGAATCCAGAGACCGGCGTCATCTAGGAAAGAAGACAGCGTAAGCCATTACATTCTTCATCGATCTCTTGCCATGACCTGAAGGACCTTGGGCTAACACTTAATTTGATTGGGGGATAACATAAAGCTTTTTTTTTTTTCACCTCAATGTGTTTTTCTTCCTTGATAGATTGTTTACCTCTAACATTGTACGTGTACATTCCATCACTTGGATCCGTACAGCCTTGCTAAGAAATAAACTAGTTTCGCAAGACTCAGAATCACCTCCATTTGAATCACCAATTTATTACCTACCTTGATCAGTTTTTCGAAACGTTTTCAGCAAACTGCCCTCGATAGTTTCCTGGTGGATCATATCGAGCGACAATGTAGGTTACATAACCCTGCCCTCGATCTGTTGTCGCTTTAGCCACCCCAAGTTTAGTTGTTGCTTGCCACACAACCTACAGATTGCAACAAAAAGAAAATAGTTCTTTCCAAACACAAACTATGAACTGTCATCTGAAAGATATACGTTTATCATTTCGTAACTACTTCAACTTCTAAAGATCTTTGTTCTTATAAATTTTTCTGCTAGATTCTTCCAAATATTTTGTAGGTAACCTACTTCCTTTTATCTTCAACGCTTAAAGGAGCAAAAATGTAATTTCGTAGGAAGGTGGTGTATTAGAAATATTATAACTGAGCTTTCTACTAGAAGGCAATTGCAATGGGCTGCCCTTCAAAACCATGCCAAAAGAATCTTCCAGGTGAATGTGAGTTTTTTTTCTTTGAAGCGAATGAAAGAAAACTTATTTTTATGTCAAAAGCTTTTCACTTATCCTCACTTTCAAACAGATGATTGCTTTATGAGCATGAAGTTGCTAAGCAGCGTTTAAATGATGCAACAACAGTCACGTGGATTCACTAAAGCAACCTCGTTCACAGGTCCTATCTCTCCCGTACCTTCTCGAGGGAGGAAGATAGAGGACCCTGGGAACAAGGCTGATACCAAAGCGGAGAACGTTCTCTAATGGACAGATTTCTCAACAAGATTTTCTTTCTGTGAATGTTAAGACTCCTTTTGATGTATTCATTACTGCCAGGTATTCATGCTTGACTGGAAACACTCAACAACTATTACAGAAATAAACACCGCAGATGAAATAGCTTGAACACTACCCCGTTCCAATCGCCGCTCGACAAAAGTGTGCTTACCTGCGTAAAATGACCAGTTTTACGGGAAGAATGAGGATTATTGAAATCATAATCCTTTATTTCAGCGTACCTAAAAATGAAAAAATACTGATTTACCGGGCCCTTGATATCGACATGGATAAAGGAAGCAAGTTCCTAACGAAACTGTGATGCTGCATCGGTAGCAAGTATTACAAGATAATCTTGTTTATCGACTGATTTGATAATGTAAATCGAGAAATTGTAGATTGTGGACCCACAAACCAAATTTCCCAACGCGTTCTAACGAATAGCTAACGCTCAATACTTCAGCTTTTGAATCTCTTTACGGAGGCCAATTTACGTTATCATCATTAAAGCGGCCCTATTAAGTCATGGAATATGAAAATTTCGTTGTTGTCCATCAAACTCAGTCAGAATAAATTGAGATTACACCCAGGTACTACAACATCCCCAGTCTTTGAGAGTTTATCGAGGACCTTATCATTTGATATGTCTATTCGGATGGTTGTCCTGTGCTGCCTCTTACCAGGCGTTAACCGCGTCTTGGCATGAAGTTTCTTGAGGCACTGAGCTGTATGAAAAGTATAGGTTTTCTCCCGCTTTAGCATTCGGATCGTGCTTCAGAGACCCAATACTAGCCAGGTGATTTGCCCAGTGTTGAGCTTTGCGAGCCAGTTCGTCATCCCACGTTAGCGGCGGTGCGCTATGTATAGCGCGCTTGGTATTATGGGCATCCAGACATGCGCTTGAATCCACTTCAAATCACGTATGCAAAAATATATTAAAAAATTATTGAATTAAAGGAAAGAAAACTGAATTAAAGGAAAAAAATCTACCAAAGTGAAGCCCAAAATTAAAGAGTCCAATTAAGATAAAATGCTCTCAAACCCTTTTACTAGGTTCAAATGAAAAAAAAAAAGGTATTTAATCATTTTCATGGTAAAACCATATGTGTTTCGAAACGAAAACATAAACAAACAAAATATCAAAGAAATTTGGTCTGTCTTAACCAAAATGGCGCAGAAAGTGAAAGTTTCAATTTGAATATATAGGTCTACTGCTCAATAGTCTCCTCTTCCGATGATTCCTCTCCAGCAGTTGTGGTGAGGGGGGGAGGGGAATTGTCAGAATCAGCTCTTTTTTTTTTCTTGATGTTGCGAGATCCAATCAAATCCTTCTTAAGAGTGGCAGAGAATGAGTCATAGGGATCGTAAGTCAGTAGTTTATAAAAATTTTTTATTAAACTCTACCTGAGCCGCGCTTCTTTATTTGCAGTTTATGCGCGCCTGGAAAACGATTCAATGGAAAGCCAACTCGTCCTGGGGCGGCATCGCAGAGGTTAAAGACGAGGGACAAGACAAGAACTGAAATTAACATCTTCTCTGAGGACTGAGGACTGAAAAATGAAAAAAAAAGGAAACAGTAATCTGTTATCAAATTTATTCTTAGGAAGTATAAATTACTATGCACTTAGACTTCAGCTCGTTAATTTGTTGTTTTAAATGTTTTAAAAGCTCGAGTAATTTTCCGTTACCTGTTAGAGTTAATTTCACGCAGTTCGTCATCTTCCTGTTTGTTTGGCTCTTGATGTTTATTAGCTTTCATGAACGTGTAGTTTCACTTTTGGCGGGAGCCCTATTTTGAGCGCGCAATGATTTATTTTACCTTCAAGTTGTTTAATCTTATTTCCCTGATACTTTGAGATTTGAAAAAAGTAAGCCATATTTCAAAAAAATATTTGAGGGTCTATATCTTAAAGCGTTTTATTTTTCATCAATGTATTGATGTACTTAGTCATGGTTCCCAATGATGTAATACTAAGGACAAAAGATGCTCACTTTCCTTCAAAGCAAAGTTTTAAACAGCAGGTCTTGAACATGGAATGATATGTATAAAAAGCTCACCTCCGTGTCACTTTTTAAGTGTGGTTTTCCTATAATTTTTCCTACTGAAGAAACCTGTTCAACAACACTTTGAAAAAATTTTCTCTTTATAAGCTCTACAACCTTCTTCTCTGATGACTTTTGTAGAACGAATTGACTTAGAGAGGGTCCCAGCCAATGGCTAGCCACTCCAGTTGTATATGACACAGTATATGCCAATCAAAATTTGCTTTTACAGCATATTCATATATCAATATTTGCCAGTGGAAAGTTTTTACTCTCGCCCTCTTGGAAGCTTTGTAAAGCCGCAACGAGGCATAACCGTTCAAATGACTCTGTGGTGTCCGTAAGTCAAGGAAAAAAAAGGCTTCAAGTCAATTGTAAATTAATTGTTCAAACCGCGCATTTCATATTTGAAAAGAACTATCAAATTTAGCTTGAAGACATCAAATTCCGGAGTACATATTTTCTCGAATATTTCCAATATGCCCTGACTATTGTTTTATTTGATATACAACATACTTATCGATCTGATCAGTGTCAAGGAAATATCAGATTGTTTCTGTTCTCAGGGCAGTTTGTTTGCAAAAAGCTCA